TATTGTAGAGATGAGGTCTCGCCAAGTTGCCCGGGTGGGTCTCGAACCTGCGGGCTCAGGCAATTCACTCACCCTGGCCTCCCAAAGCGCTGGGATTACAGGCTGAGCCACGGAGCCTGGTCGCATTTTCTTTTTAAATTTTTTTGTTTTAAATATGTGGGGTACAATCTAGGGTTAGGTATATAAATGTTCATTATGCAGGTACCCTTGTTGACGAGGTGTGCCTCCCCCTTTCCCAGCAGATTCCCACTACTGCCAATTCTGCCCCTGCCCCCACCCCTGGCAATTTCCCACTATGCAGTAGCATTTTCTTATGTTGTTGCAACTTAGAAAATAAGTTCCCAAAGGAGACAATGCAACTTCTGAATAAATGTCACAAAGATGGGTTCCAAACAGAACTGGTGGATGGACGTCCCAAATCTCTTCTTGGAGCTACAGAAGGGAAGGGTGGAGTGCAGTCATCATACCTCATGTGAGAGGGTCAATAGCACAGCAGTTATGAGGTCTGATTGCCCATGTTCAAATCCTGGCCCTACCACTGGTTAGTCGCGTGACCTCGGGCTGGTGAAGTAACCTCCATGTACCTCAGTTCCCTCTCTGTAAAAGGGGGGATAATACTTGTGTCAGAAGCTTTGGTTGCTCCAACTCACAGTCTCTGACCTATCTGTGTCTGAAGGGACTGTTGCTGGCTGCATCATCTCACTTCCCTGTAAGACCTACCTTCTTTGCGTTCTGCCCTGGGAAAGTTTCCCATCTCCTTGGGTAACCTTGGACCCGTGGAGCATGGGAACCAGCGGATAAGTACCCCTTCTTCTTGTCCTACTGGACCATGGCGGGAGGCAGCTGTCCAAGTCTCGTGAAGAATTAAGTTCCTGGGGCCCATGGTGGTGCCTAAATAATGCATCCTTATGTCGTCTCTACTTTTTCCTCTGTTTCGATTTTCTGCAGCCCTCACTCATGCCCTCAAGGATCACTTTGAAAATATACTACGGACACAAAGCCCTTGTCTCAAGTTCTGTTTTCAGGGCAATTCAAGTGAGACAACAATATACCTCATAGGGCACACCTGAGGATTAAATGAAATTATCTGTTTAACACAATGCTGGGCACAGAGTATAGCTATATCAACGGTCGCATTTACACACGACATTAAAAAAAAGTGATCAGGGAGCTTATTTGGAATGTTCTTAGAAAACTGTATTACTGGTCTTTTCACCAGTTATTCCAACAGTCATTAACGCTCTTAATAATGATACTTTGGGGTAGTGCATCATGCCACAGCATTATTTGGACATTGAAGATGCATAAGCCAGAGTATTTATTAACTAGTTAAACTGTTAGCTGTTAAAAGAGTGTTCACCTTTGCTGCAAGCCTGTAAGTCATCTGAATATGAATGCACTCAATTTACTGTATCAATGATATAAGAACAAGGTAGAGTGTTTAGAGTATCTAAGGGCAGACATACAAATCCAAAGTAGCCTCATTCATAGAAAAGGAACTGAAAGTCAATCACTTAGTGAACAAAACGAACATCTGGAGTGCAAGGATTCATCTGGAGAGAAAAGCCACTGTTCCATTCTGGCTCAGTAATGCAGAGCCTTTGGCAGACCAGCACCTGGGGTGGGGTGGCTGTGTGCACACACAGCTCCCGCCTCACATCAGATCTGAGGTGCTCAAGGAAAAAAAGCTTATTTTGGGTTGAATTTAGGTAGAGAGGAAGGATTGAAGCTTTCATAGTGTAGTCTACCGGTGTCTCAACATACAGTGTAAATAATACTGTAACAAAGTGATTAAATTCCCCCAAGTACTCATAAAAAATTAGCTTTACATCACAACTAATGTGCCATATTAGAATTCTATGACCAAAAGAAAAATGAGTCAAGGTAAATGAGCTGGGACTATGTGAATAAAACAGGAATTGAAATTAGTACCAATGCCCAGGGCCGTATCAAAAGACTTTTTGTGTGAGACTTTTAAAATAAGCTGAACCGAGCTTAGAGTCTCCATATGTAAGGTTTCAGAAGATATAATCGTGCCCTTTCTCTTAGCCTCGGATTCAACCAGTGTTTTTCCGCATTTGTGCCAAGGGGATAAGTTAGCTAATCAGCAGAATAAAGGGCTGGAAACCTTTATAGAAATGAAACTGTGATCTCCAGCATTGTTATACATGAACCTCAGTGATACCTGGGGACTCAGCAACCTCTTGCTGCCAAATTTAAATGAATGAATAAATAAGAGGAACAGCAGTGGCGAGATCTCTGTCGTGTATGAGTGGTGAAAGGTTTGCTGTCAGTGGAGTTATTGCTGATTCTTACCGATTTCCTTGGAATGACTCCTGCAGAGTTAAAGACATCAAATGCAAGGTTTTTGATCCACCTTCTTCAAACACCCAAGCCTCCCTTCAATTCACTAAAGGTAGTGTGAGTTCCAAACTGGAAGGGAAACTCAATACTGAGAAACACGGTTCCAGGTATGTGTGCTGAGTATGAAGAATAATTCATTTTCAGCCGTATTGATCAGAATTTAGTGATCAAATGTTTCTTCCTCCCCTTAAGTTTTTTTTCTATATGCTTATTCATTACAGCCCATTTGTAAACTGTAATATATACATGAAGGAGTTACTAGAAAGAACATATGGTGTATCTTCTAAGGTGACAGATGAGAATATATAAAACACTTGTGGGATAATGCTTTGGAAATAGTAACCATATTCCCAATGTGTCTAATTTCTCTTTTCCCCTTTGGATGGCTCTTTACCTTCCCATGCATTGCCTTGGGGGAGGGGACAAGGCAATCATTGCCTCAAGAAAAAGCAAATCGCTTTTGAGTCTTTTCCTAATTTTTGTATATCAAAACCTAGGTCTTAAGAGAACAGAGTGGACTCTTGGGTTAACCCAGTGAAGTTTTGGTAATGATTGTCAAGAAATAGGGGATGCTCCAGGTATCTGTTGGGTAAAGCCAGGGGTACTACTAAATATCCTATAATGTACAGGACAACCCCCAGCAACAATTAATGATCTGGTCCAAAATATCAGTAGTGCTAAGGTTGAAACGCCAGGTTAACCAAAGGTTTGAGGTCGTTTGAGAAGGATGAGTCTATTTCCCCAACTACTCCCCTATCCCCTGTGTAAACCCTGGCTATTTATAGAGAGAAAACAGAAGAAATTTAGAGAGTTGTTTAGGTGTAAGACATCTGCTCGGTGGAAAATGAAAGACTGGCCTTCTTTTCCTCAGCTGGATATCTGCTTAAGGGATGAACTTGTTGACCTGCCCTCTGTGAGTGTTGAGGTCTGAGAAAGGATGGTTGTGATGACAGGGCAAAGAGAGGAGGCATCCTGCACACCTATTATGTAGCATGGTGACAGAGGATGGTTTCCCCAAATGTCAAGTAGACACCACAGAAACTTGACTTGAAAGCTGGCCCCTCTGGTCAGTCTGGGGGAAGGGCGGGGGGGGATACTGATGGGAGTTGAAATTGATCAGACCAGCATCACATCTAGCACCAGAGACATGTAGAGTGAGGGCCACATCCCGGGTCTCTGGAGATTGCCCACAAGCACTCAAGGCGAGGGTAATGGCTATGCCTGTCAAGGAGAAGATATTTCCTCTTTTCTCCCATATTGCCTCTTAACTCCATGGAAGTGTAGGGAGATCTGCCAGAGGGAACAGTGAGCTATAGGTGGAGATGATTCTTGTCTTCTTATGGTGAATTCCTTGTGCTACAGGTCAAGCCTGAGTTGGGAGACAAGAAGGGCATTAAGTTAGGCATCATAGTGAAGTTATAAATTTGACTAGACTCTTTGCTATCTGAAAGTGACTAGAGAGTGATAGGATCTGCGTGGGTTACAGTCTAAGAACAAGAAAGGAAGTTTCCATGGATTGATTATCCCTTCTAAGTTTGGACTCTACAGTGAATCATGATGACATGGCGGAGAGCCAGCCTTGGAGTGAAGGTGATAGAGAGGACAGCAGGGTAGAGAGACAGTGTGACATGGACTTGATGATGTCAGCGAGCTACTAAGTCATGTGTTCTCACCTCTGAACTTCCAGTGATGTGAGATAATAAATTCTGTGTTGTGCACATTAGTTAGAGTTGGAGTTTTGTGATTTTTCTGCCGAAAGTACCCTCATGATACTTGATACATGAGCTAATGCGTCATTTGCAAAGAATAACACATTGAAAATTGCCTTATTTGGGGCTATAGTCTCAGCAAAATAAAATAATCTTCTCAGATAAATCCATTGTTTTCTTGTCTGGGATCCACCTCTTTATGCTGTATATTATGTATATTAACTTAATGAAGAAAACCCCTCCAAGGAACCACAGGATTCCTTTGACTGATTGATTATACATATCTAATTTTATTCCCTCTTGAAATCCCAATAAAGTTCCTTTAAGGGGTTAAAAATAAAAGTCATAAATCCAGGGGAAAGCACAGAATAGGAGAGAAGACAAATCACCCTCTGATTTCAGGTGGGTCTACTTCAGCAACAAGTTTTCAAAGACAGAAAGCAGATGAATAGTGGTAACTGACTTGGCAGCAGACTTAAGACATGCCTGAGAGTTTTCTCTCTCTCTCTCTTTTTTTTGTCCTTTGGATATTAGTTTTTAAGGGCATAAAATATTTTATTCTATCTCTCTGAGGATATTAAGGATAATTTATTTTCTGTGGGTTTGTCTTAGTGTGTACTTGTATGCTAGAGGTTTTTTCTGACAATGGTCATTCTTGATTAAAGTATTGGCAGTTCCAGGTACCTTTGAAATGGGAGATAAGATGGGGAAGGTTGACGGTTATTTGAGAAGTTAACTGTTAACTAGTTTCAGCTAGATCTGTTTTCTTATTCCACACTGCTGGGCCAGCTGCCCCTCCTCAATACAGATTCCCCGCCACCCTGTACTCCCTAGTCCTCTTCCTACCCTCCATCCCAGAACCCTGGCAGTTCGGGTTAGGGTTAGGGTTAGGGTTTACCCTCTAAGGAGGAAATTGGAAGCATCTTTTAACTACAGATCAACACGTTCTCTCTAACCCCCTGCTCTTAAATATGCACACACAGCCATCTGAGGAAAGTGTCTACAAAAATGGCAGATACCAAAACAAACACACAAGCAAAAAGAAACTTGGAGGGAAAAAGAGGATATACAAGAAGAATAAAGTTTAAAAAAAAAAAAACCCTACCCTTAATATCTGCAGAGAGATATTAAAAGATATTGCATACTCTTAAAAGGAAGAGTCAGAGGACAGAAGAAGATAGAATAAACAAAAAATCCAATAGAAATTGAGTTGAGAAACTATCTGAGAAATATTGCAAAAAGATAAAGAGAAGGAGAAAAATATAAAGGGTAAAAAAATTAGAGGTGGAGTGAAAGAGGCCCAATATGCAAATAATAGGCATTCCAGAAAGAGGGAAGTGACAAGTGGAGAAAAGGAAACCATCAATGAAATAATTCAAGAAACTATCTTAGGACTGAAGAATACTATTTTTCATACTGAAAGGGACCACTGCATATCAACAGAATAGACAAAAATAGGCCCATATTGTAAAATTTCAAAACACCAAGGATAAAGAGAAGATTCTACAAACTTTCAGAGAGAAGAAACTGATCATGGACTAAGGAATCAGAATGGCCTGGAATTTCTCAACAACCCTAGCGGTTGTAAATAATAGAACTATTTGAAGAAAAATTATTCCCAATTCAGATTCTATACCCAGCCAAACTTAAATGTGAAGGTAGATTAAAAATATATTGGAGCAATGTGACTTGGGGGGTAGATGTTTGCTACCCTTGTGTTGTCTTTTTAACCTGATGATGTTACTGGATGTTGTATCTATCACAAAGAGGATGTAAAAGGGAAGATGCAAAGTCCAAGAAACAGAAAACGAACTCAGACACTCCTAGGATACTCTATATACTCTATATGTTGATAATATTTAGAATTTGGTGGATCCTAGCCTAGTCATATACCACCTCTGTAATTTAATATAAAGAAATTGAGGCCCAGGAGATTAAGTGCTTTGTCCAAGGGTAGGAGGAAATCCCAGAATGATGTGCAGTAGGCCTAAAGGTTTACCAGTCCAGAGAGAGGTAGGATGGGATTCTTTCAGAGGGATGTCTTCAAGAAGAGAGTGTAACTGAGAGGATTACGTAACTGAGAGGGATGTCTTCAAGAAGAGAGTGTAACAGAGAGGCTTCTGGGAGGTTTGGAAGAATTAGTGATGGGTACAAGGAGGACTAAGTAAGTAAAAGAAACAATAAGGCAATTATTAACTCCAGGAAAAGTAAAAGATAAGAAAGGAAATATGATCAATAGACTATAATTCTTAATAGTGAATAATATTTGCATGGGCATATTAATATAAACACTGAATGTTTATGTTATAATATAAACATAATAATATTGGGAGAGTGGAGAAGGAGAAATGGAGATGATTGTGTAAAAGAGTGATATCCTTATCTACCATAGGGACGCAGTCAAATTATGTCCAGAATGCATGATGCAAAAGAGAGTAGAATATGTGAACTATTTAGAAATATGAAGATATGCAATACATGTCAGAAAGGACAACTGAAATTATTGCAGGGGACAGTTTTTGTTTGTTTTGTTTTAAGCCTTTTAGTTAAAAGCAATCTACATGTATTATTTTGATAAAAATACAAACTAACTATAAAATTCTTCTGAATTTTGTAATGCACCATCATACTAAGCAAAAGAAAAAGGAAGAAACCATATATCACTAAAGAGAATTGAGAAAACAAGCAATTTAGGCTGTCAGGGTCAGAGTAACTAATGGCTTTTACTGATATGCTCAAATCATGTCAATTTACACAGATAATGCCTTTGGCTTTGCTGTATAAACCAGGCAATCATAGGCTACTCTGAATTCTAATTTTTCCCTAAATCGTCTCAATAACTAAGACCTCTTCTTTCCTCATCTATGTATTTATTATAGCACTTTAAAGAATTATTGCTACTTTGTCATAGTAGATTTAATTTAAGTCAGGCTGGTTTGCTTTAGAAATTAATTTAGAACCCACATAACCTTTCTTATTAATAAGTATAAAAATATTGATTTTAATGAGTCAAAGCATCCTAGGATTTGTTTGTTTATTTATAATTTATGCTCTCAATTACTTTTAACAAATCTAAAATAAATTTTATATAAGTACCTTTGCACTGACCACTTCAAGTCATTAGAATATTACTTAGAACTTCTTAATTAATTTTAATTTATAATACTCTTTCTCATAAGGTTTACTCCGTTGGTAGCATTTGGCTTCTTACTGTCTGCTTTTTATTTAGATATGATGTTTCACTGGAGGATATTAAAGCACAGTCCACAGGCTTTCTGTAGGAAATGATATAATCTCTTTTTCACAGATGGGGAATCTGGAGGCACAGATGGCCATGCCATTAGCCCTAAGAGATGAAGCCAGTTAGAGACAGAGCTAAAAACAGTACAGAAGGCATTAAAGCCGGATTCTTCCACTGCACTCTCTGATGTACTGATGATCATTATCATCTATCATTATCATGACTAATTTTTGAATACTCACTTGGCACATATTATTAAACTGTACTGGGAACTAGATTAAAATCCTCGATGCCTGGCAGCTGTTTTTCTCAGTGCTGTTTTCCAAACGTACTTCTCCCTCATGCTTTCCCCTGTTTGGTTGTAGAGGCATTCTGTTTAGAATAAATGTTAAGAAACTCTCAAAGGAATGCCAAGGTTGAAATCACTCTGCTGAGAGTAACCACCGGCATCGTCTTATGCCTTGTGTCCTTATGCCTTGTGTTGATTCTGCACTGAGCTTACTCTTTGAATTTGAGTCATTGCCGTCAAATCACTCTCACCCACTCCTGAGGGATGGTTGATACTCTTCTCTGCAAATATATGAATAATTAACAAGATTCACTTATTCACCACAGTAAATATTATTGCATTTAATACATGCTATCATGATGGGATATTCAGTGCTCAGGATATGGTTCCTGCTCTCTAGACAACTTAGGGAAGAAAATTAAAGAGAGAATTAAATAATCAAGTGCTGACAAGAAGTGCAGAAGGAAAGTGAAAATTGTGTCATTGAGAGTGTGCCTACTCTTCAACGATTTTGTTTAATGGATGGCAAATTTATCTTTAAATTCAGGACATGTATTGCTTCATAAAGTGCCCTTTTATTCTATATAGTGATAATATTTAGAATTTGGAGGACTTTAGCCTAGTCATATACCACTCCTATAATTTAATATAAAGAAACTGAGGACCAAAAGATTAAGTACTTTGTCTAAGACCATTGATCAGAACTCATGATTTTGAAGAAATGCCTAATCCATAGGGAAAAATAGGGGACAAGAAACTAATACTTTCAAATGCCTTTTATCATAATGAAATTTATTATTATTATTATTATTATTATTATTATTATTTTGAGTGGGAGTCTCACTCTGTCGCCTAGACTGGAGTGCAGTGGCCGCTCCCGGCCACCACAGCCTCGACCTGCTGGGCTCTGGCGATCCTTCCACCTCAGCCTTCCAAGTAGCTGGAACTACAGGCACGCCCGGCTGATTTTTTGGTTTATTGTAGAGATGAGGTCTCACCAAGTTGCCCAGGTGGGTCTCGAGCCCGCGGGCTCAGGCAATTCACTCACCTCAGCCTCCCAAGGCACGGGATTACAGGCTGAGCCACTGAGCCCGGCTTGAAATTTAAATAATTCAGTAGATAGTAAGTTCAGAAGATAAAGGAATATTTCCTTAACTGAGGTCCTGTATTATTCCCTCCTAACTACTAGGAAGGGTTAGGTACCTATTACATAAATCCCCCTAACTCTTGACACTATTTCAGATGAGTAGAAATGAGGAGTTGGAGAATATTCAGGTGACCATCTAGCTCCTACCCCTGTCAGAATCTCTAAGCAACTAGCCATGATTAGAGAAATGCTTAAAAGTTCACTTGTGCACAAATAGCTTGCTAGAGGATTTGACTCAGAAAAAGAGACCAATGAATAACAGACAAACAAATGCATGAATGCAAATGTGTTACCTGAACAAATTCTCATAAATTTGGATCAAGTAGTGATCTCTAGATTCATAACAAAAAATAGTTGACAATTTTCACAAAAATACTGTCATCTGTAGTTAGTTATATGAGATAAATGAACATTTAATGTTTAACAGATGTGAATTGAACCTGTCCATTCACCTTCTTTTTTTCTTTGTCCAGCATGGATTGAATGGTTGTTTTACTGGAAATAGATGTATGAATTGTTTTTGTTTTTGTTTTTTTTTTGAGTTGGAGTCTCACTCTGTCGCCCAGACTGGAG